CATTCTGAATTTAGCGGCCCATCATCCGCAGTCATACGGATTGGTTAAATTCGCCAGTGAAACAAAAGTGGTTTGCATTGCTCGCATTCTGAGTCTGGTCAAATATCTGGTACTGATTGCTTCCATCTTTTGGTTGGGTTATCTGTCAAACGACCGTCAGCTGATGTCACCAACCTTGAAGGGTAGTTGCAGAACCACCCATCCTATCTGCACTTGGTGTCGTTTCCTGTGAGTTGGGAGTGCTTTCAGATGTATCATTTCAGAAATCCGTTAGATTTTAGAACTTTTCTAATCTTGTCATATTCGTTATCCAATGTATCCGCTGTGCAAATCAGTCGCGCCCTGTAGAAGAGCGTTTGAATTAGACCGATCTTATATCCCATTGGAGCAAAGCTAGTAAAACGGAGATATTAACCAGATCATGTATCATTTCGGTACAAAGATCTTCTGATTGATTCATCCGTTCGATGTGAAACGTCCACTTACAAAAAGGTTTTGCTGTCTTGCGTTTCATCTTGGAAAGTCAACGTTATGTTCAGACGAAAAATATTCACGCCTTCAAACAGTCTCTCCTCGTCTTCCTTTGTATCACAGATGATGAATATCTGATCAACATACCGGCAGTATAGGATCAGCTTTTCAATTTCGTCCGGTATTCGATGTTCTTCATGTCCAACGAAATGTCCGCAAGCATGGGTCCCAGCGGACTGCCCATAGCGACTCCATCGATCTGTTGATATCCTTTACCTAAGAAGGATAACTACACATTTTTGTATACAACAGTAAGAACGGTTCCAGTTTATCCGCTGGGAGTACAACGTCAGTGATCTTTTCTACCATAGGTTGGCAAATAATTGCAATGGTCTCCAGTTGAGGGACGTTGGTGACAAGTGCATTTACATCCATAGTAACTCTATGTTTGCTTTTAGTGTTTCTGTCTTTCACACTGTAGTGGCGAATGAAGTCTCGCACTGGTTTCAGAGTTTCTGTTAACCATTTGGCCAGAATAAAACGCAAAACAGCGTCACCTTTCTGGCCATCCGTGTAGCTACAGATTTCTAATCTCCAGTGCTGGTAGAATCACTTTATTTTGGTTAATGTCTACAGTCACATTCTAAATGATCTTACCTAGTAACCGCAAGCATACACACTCGTATAAGATAATTGTGCTTTATATTGCTTGTATTCTGTGTCTAGTCGAATGTGTGGTACAGGTTGCTCCCATCTTCCGATTGTGTTGCCTCTAAAATGACCTCATTCTGGTGCGTTTCAAGTCTCTGAATGTGTTTTGGGTCTGGAATAATGATTACATGGTCCGATATCAAAATAGGAAATAATATGATAAGCTACGTTGGCTTGTACAGACACAAAACACTCATATCTGAGCGAAAACGTATTCAGCTCTTCTTTCTCATGGCTTCTGTTGAGTTCAAACGAATTGTGATGACATGTGTCGGCCGGCAACAATTTTATCTGAGGTTTTTACTTTTTTGATTAGGATCGGGGTAAGCATAATACTGCTGAATGTTAGTAGTAGTTTACAAGTAACGATACATTTCCGAAATTTTAGGTGAACTTCGATAGGTAAAGGAAAACAAACAGATCCAGTCTAGGGTGATGATATTTGGATGATGCAGAATATTGTAAACAAATGTTCGTAATGAGTTCGTGTGAACGCCGAAACCGTCGGATCCCGTTGGAACCACAGATTATATACAAATATTCTCAGTGTAATGGTGATATAAAATTTACAACACAATGTTTACTTTCAATAAAGTGATTATCCCTTCGAAAACAGCTGTTTTTATTTCTTTGGGGCTTTTCCAGAGCCAATGCGTCCGTCAAAAGAAATCGAATACGTTTTCTAGTGGGGGATCAGGTGTGAATGTATGAATGAGCTTTGTCATTAAAGCTGCCTTCATACTCTGTCGTGTCGGTGCATCTTACGGATAAGAACAGCCCAAATGTTTTCTTCTGCGTTCCGATTTGGGCTGCACAAACAAAAAAGCATTGCAGTTTTTTGATACCACGAAACAATATCCACTATCTTTTTAGATAAGATTTATGAACACGAATGATATCATGCGGAAAATGGTGGTAGCAGGACCATCCGATGGCATTACTTCCATAAGTTACCGCTTAATTATACAAATACATCGTGGAAATTTGGTTAGGCCGTTTCTCACGAAAGCCCACATACCACCAGGGAGTTTCGGTCGTTTATCCGCTCCCTCACTTTACGCTACTCTTTCTACGGACAACGCAACCGGGAAAACTTTCATTTGACTGATCTGAATTAAATTTATTTTTGTCCGCAAATTAAGCAAAGTTCCATTCGCGTTTTCAAGGTTCATGAATATCGGTTCCCAAAGAAACGTTTTGTGTTGGTAAAGGTAGTAGAATTATGAGTCATCTAGTTTTTGTATGCGTTCCAAAAACTGATTTGGTCTTCATTAAATCGTTTACATCGAAGTGTCCAACTGAAGCATTGCTTCCTCATCCAATGTATCCCTCACGGAGTTTGACACCATACGCTTTAATCTGTCATTACCGTTCCCAAAGAGCATTTTTTGGCGTCCTATCCGTTGAGGTGTGCGATTTAACTAGTTCCGCTTTGAATATTGTTCCACAGTAAAATCCGTACCGAATATACTGTCTGGGTATTTCATGATGAGTGCTACCATTGACCTCAAGGTAGGCAAAGATTGTATATTTCCCGTTTTCAGTAAGCTTCTTTCATCAAGTCATTCAAAACAATCTCTTATATGGACCAACATAGATTCATTACCTTCAAAATCATTGAAAATGATTTGAGCATATGGACACTGTAATCAGGGTGTCAAATAGCTGTAGCTTACACGAGTCTATCAACAAATGACTTACCATCATTGTCATTTGGCGTGCCGAAGTACAAACTCCGGATATGTGTAGTAATCGTTTTAAAACAGAGGTCGGTGTGCTAGATAAATTGCAATAAGTTTGATGAATTGTTTGGTATAGTAAAAGATTGAAGAAAGTTTGTTTTTCTTATTTTCACTTGTTTGTTTCCCCGATTCTCAAAAACTGTGATAAACATATATGTGGGAACCGGGCTGATAAAATTCATATTACGTGGATTAAAAATATGCAGTTCACCTGCGTGTTTACTGATTGAACTCCAAACATAACATTTAAACTAAATCAGGTGATTAGAATCAACGTGAAAGTAAGTGAAAGCCCATTCCGAGCGATCAACGACCAAGGCCTCTACCCGATTAGAGGTCAAGAATGGTGTGATTATTATCGTATCAGGTGTCTAGACTTGCAGTGGGCCATTCCAATAGAGGTTAAATGTGCAGTGTGATATGGCATAAAACCAGAGCTAGCAGGATAGAGCAAGATCAACCTGTCCACTGAGTTACTGACTCATGTTTCATTTACTCATTTTGTGCGCTTTGGTCTTCGCAACTCGAGGAGATGGTGAGTGAATACGGACAAACTCATCGTGTTGTCCATGCGGTTACGATGCAGTTATTACGCCAACTGCTTTTATCCTTGTGATTTCTTTTTGTTATACACGCAGACCCACCCGGACAGATCGGTAAGCAAAGCCACCTTTAAAAAGCCAGAATTCTTTCTGGGTGTATACCTTTCAATTGATTTTCGCAACACCTGGCATTGCACTTTGATTCATTTTGAGTATTGGTGAGCAAATTTGATGCGAGCTGTATCAGTTATTGCAACTCAACAACTAAGCATTTCTTGTATTCTTCCGTCTAGTGATTCATATATATTCACACATTCACGAAGTGAACTCAATGTCATCTTAATACATTGTCAGAGAAATTAATCTACCCTGTAGAGAGGCATATCAAATGTTGGATTATGTAACGGTTATTTTTTCCATCAGATAAACTACATGTTCTTATGTTTTTGCACTCAACGAATTGGTTAATCATTTTTCTACTTTATAGTTCAAGTAGGAATAATGAACCGCTGAAACAGGCAGTGACTGAATCTACATGAAACGACTGACGGAGACGTTGCAGGGCTGCATTTAAGCCAGATATCATGAATACAGAAATCCAATATATCACGAGAAGCTGGCATAAGCCAAACCGCTTGCTCCTGGTTGGTTGGCATGTTTCATCATACCCCGATTCCTGAGATTTCTTCATAACCTGCCTATACATAAACGAAAATCCAACCTCGTATATGCACCGAATGGCTCTGGGTCACATGATTCTTCTTCTATTTTAACACTTGTCTGTATAAGGGCAAATATACAACGCTCGCTCGTCTTAATTTTGGATTTTTATTTTGCAGCAAAATATGTGCTTTTCAAGGTTAAAACCCAGTGGTATTTGGAAGGTATTCCTCTTGTCATTTTCAAATGGATCCATCTGTCCACAAATCCCTTATGTTTGCCCATTACTTAAAAAGCGTTACCAAAATTTTGTAACCTCTAAAATCTACCGAATTCACAATGGTTGTGCATATTTACAGAGGTATCTTGGCTAATCACCCATAAAATGGTTCAGTCATGTTCAATCGTGTCCACCAGACAATGATGCCAGCATCTCATTTTCATTTCGTTTGCCATCAGGAGTATTCTGTTATGCCACAGTGACGGAGGAAGGAGAAAACAGAATTGGGTTCGATCGGTTTGCTTTTCCGACGAATCAACAGATGGAAAATTTATCGGATATAATTACTCACTCGGTATGTTTCACTAAAGCGATTTGTTTTACTGGCTTTATATTTACCAAGCCCCTCACCCCGGGAAATTGATACCCTTACTCGATAGAGTAGAGCAAATGAAATAAACATGTTCAAGGAAGGTGAGACAGTGAACCACCTGATTCAAATTATGAAATCTATAAAACCAAAAACAGCCGACTTGTTTTACTGTGCCTCGTTGTTTGCGATGGAATGTGGCACACGATTCCAGACGTGTTGAAAATATAGACACAAACTACTTTCATTTGAATAAAAAAGAAATCTTTGTCCACCCATTACAGATGTCCACCATTGGCGATCACGATTTCCAACGAGCATTTGTTCGGACCGAATTCTTACGCCTGGCAGGAGATGTTGGAGAGACTGCCGCAATTTTTTATTTGTTTCTCAATGATACCGAGTTGAAGCAAGCCAGTCACAATGTGCTAGAAAATGTCGGCAGTTTGAGCCGATATGTGATGTTACAACTGTCCGCACCCACGAATAATATTTATCTACGTGATATAGGAATTCAAAGTTAGTGTTACTGTTTGGTGTCGTTTAATGCTTACCGTTTTTGTGAATACTCACAATTGTTCCATTGTCGGCCAAGTGGTTCTGGATTTGAGACTCTAAACTGGTGGATTCACTGCGCATCGATCGCAAGTGCAATCTCATACATTCTCTCGAGGGATTGGCCATAAGATACTGATTCATTGACCATCGTTTTTCCGGACAGTCCCAAGATTAATTACGAATATTCATTCAAAACACACATCTTTGCAGGCAATATTTGGTGATCGTGTGTTTTCTAGTGTGTTTATGAGTGTGTAACAGACGGGTGAGAAGTGCTTACCGAGGGTCTCCATAGCTGTTCTGTTGAAGGTACACCCGACGAAAGGCGTATTGCTTGAGGAACGTGGTTGTACACCCTTTGTAGATTTCCACAAACCCATGAATAAAATTAGGCTGATCAACCACAGAACTATTTATTCCCGTATAATATTTGAACAGCATAAGTTTTCGTGCGTCGATGTTCATGTCTCAAATACTTCTGTTTCAGACATTCATTATTTCGAACGTTTGACAACAAAATGTAAGTTCACATTGTCCCATGCAGAATAACTATGCATTTCGTACAGTTATTCTATTATATTTATCCAGCCCAAATTATTAACATCACAAACACGCGTCCTCATTTCAGCAATGAGTTGTCAACAGGCTGTGTATCACAATGGAAGCTTGATTGAATGGAGACCAGATCTTTACAATCGATCGTCCGAACATTTTTTGCAAATCGCGGGTATGCTCAATACGAAGGTGAGCTACGGCGTTAGAGCAGAATTGATAGATCACAGTCGATTGAGTACTGGCACAAACCGCCCTTTGGCTAGCTCTACTGGTAACTACTTTTAGTCTATCTTGACTGTCTGTCTTTCCGTCTGTCTGTCTATCTCTCTGTCTATCCTTTTTTTCTTCTTCCTGGTTTGCCACTTATTGGATGGACGAATTCAGCTCTTTGGGACAAATGTGGAACAAGTTTTTCTTGGTGATCAGTTACCAATCCAAGTACCGAACAATAATATGGGCCAGACTAAAATGCATACTTGCAAAAGGAATTCTCTACGAACAGTTCAGTTTTGTGAGATATGAATGCGAATTAGTTGCCACCAGCGGAATTATCCAACGACGAATGGGAACGAAATGTTGGCTTCATATTAGTATCCTACTAACAGTTAGGTAATGGAGCTAATGAGAATTAAAGATGGCAAATAAACGGCCTAAACGTCATTGATGAACGAAAAACTGGCAGCGCTCTGTGTGGGCTTTTATTTGGGTGGCGATGCTTAGATTACTGCAATCATCGTCATCTGCTTTGTTAAATTAATTGGAACAAAACATGCGTATACTTTGAGAGATAAGCATACATCACGTGAGTCGCAGTTTGAGTTTCTCCCACAGTATGTGCGCTGCTACCAACCTGAATGCTTGTTTATGTAAATTGGAGAGGCTGCATTTTGAATCCCCCCATTGTTCACTGATATATTGAATAACATTTGGAGAATGCAATTATAATTATATTTGCTGGAAATCAGCATGTGTGCACGTTCATTGTTCTTAGCGTAAGCTTCCACGGAGCTTCTTACGGGAAACAAATTATATCTACAACCTAATCGTAGACAGAAACTTCGGTATTTATTTGGTGAACTATTACTCAGACAGCGATTCAGAAGTAGCGATGCCGTCAGTAGGCGGCTGCATTAGGGATATGGGAATGAGGGATGGGCAACCATGACAGGACTCGAACTCATCACAGACAGGCGTTAATAAACAAGAGCTTAAATAATCATGAAACGACGTATCTATGAGATGAGCAATGGAGCACCAGAGAAGTAGTTCACCATGTGACGACAAATTTGGTAATGGTACAAATGAAATCTGACACGCGCTTTTGGCTACCTATACCATTTTATTACTTTTATTATGTTCTTGTAGAAAAATGTGGATTGAAACCAGGCATTCAAAATAAAGATTATTTGAGTGATTTGGTTTTACACCATTCTAGTCCCTTCCCTAATTAAATAGAAACAAAGAAGGAATCCACGGTTTTTCTTCCCTGGTGTGGCATAGTCGATAAATAACTATATTGAACACTTCATATTCCCCATACAAGATAGTTCGTTTGAACTCGACCAGTGGAGATTATCTTTTATCATTATTGAAACGTTTCCTTTCGTCACACCCCACCCACAACGAATGAAACCTCCAGACTGCGATCCCTGTGATATTGGTCCATTTATCTCCATCCTTGTTTCAGTTCACGTATTATCTCTCACATGAACGTCCGCGGTTGGGACTTCTTTCTGTCACCTCATCACTCTATTCACATCTGGTCGATAATGTCGTCGTGGTTTACAGTTTGAGCAAACTGGAGCTTGATTATGCCAAAATTTTCCAAATCTTGCCATATTATCCGGAAGGGAATTTCGGGGATTATTTGAAACAGTATATAGGCAATGCTATCAAAAAGGATATGGACGCTGAATGGCGAATATCTCTGGATAAATGTTACGGTAATTGGTTTTCTTATCACATTTTACGGAGCTGAATGAATTGGCGTTTTCCTCTCTTTGCAATGGATATTTGTGAGCAACAGTTATCTGCAAATTGATCAGCTTCAGTCATACCTATTGTAGTGGTTGAACTCAAAGGAATATACCAGTTTGCAGTTTGTAGCAGAAGAATATAAGGAATCGAGATCACAGGATGACATGATGCAGTGCACACTTATTTGTGTTACGTAGCTCAGTTATTTGATAAGAGCGGCTCTAGATGATCCATTTTCCAGGTCTCAGTTCCGGTCACTTTCTACCCTTGAGAGAATAATCTTTTCACAATCGAAATAAAACGTTTTTTCCAGCACTTACCTTATACAACAGAAATTAGGTGATGAGAATATATTTTTCATGTTTGAAAAATGCAATGCTGGCTATTCTAGGACGGAGAGATAATTTTTAGATTTCACGTAAATAATCATTTCCTTTGGCAAACCATAACAAGTCTAACAAACCACCTACGATTGCGTAATTCTCAGTTGTCCCGTCAGAAGAACAATACAAAACATTTGGTGAGTATGGTTTGATACGCTTCTATCTCGCGCTTTATTTACATCGACGTTGTCCAATTTGTTTGTTTAATGCTACTTCTGATGTTTGCGATGCAACCAGAATTGATGTCGCCTTAACCACTCGGTGCTTTGTCCAAGATGAATTGGATTGTGACGTGTAGTCCAACAATCCAGGGCCAAGCATAATCGTTCTTTCGTGGCCCCCTTTGAAGCGATAGATGTAATCAGTAAGGTTTCATGCAGCATTTTGGCATATAAGGATGGCCGATTAAAGTCAGCAGAAAGTACACTAATGTGTCTTGTCTGTTCGAGGAGATGAATAAATCTCTTTGGTTGATCACAAATTCATGTGAAGGGTTGAAATTCAATCAATCAATGGTGAGGTATAATGGAATTCAATCAAGCTGGTAGAAAAACAGGTGACAAAGCTGAGGCGAATATAGTTTATCATACTAATATTGAGTGATAAATTCCTTTCTAGTTTCAAGTTGATTTTTACACTCGGCCAAGGCCTTTGGAGCGCTTGATCCAGTCTTTTGAAGGCACATGGTTCTCTAGTGATATAACTTTGTCTAGTGCTTTTAGTTATGTTTGAACTGTGGTTACCACAGTGTCGAAACTGATATGCGATTCCGTCAGGACTGAATGAATGCTGTTCCGCCCATTTTCATGATTTTATCAGCTGACTGCGTGAGATCACCAAGAGACAAATTAACATCATTCGATAGTTTAGAAATTCTTATGCGTAATCTGCGCAATATGAACCCTGCTCATTCAGGTGGACTTTGATCAGCAAAACAACCTGGGCTTTTGACTGTATACAACCAAAGTTAATCAGTCTCTCCAAAACTGATTGGACAAGTTCTATTCATTCGTTACACATTTCTTTTCTCAAATTGGCATCCGTATTCGCTTAACTAATTGCTTACAATTCTCCTTCATCTATCAGCCATGGACATATTCGGATTGGTTTACTTGGATTCGGAAGTGGTCCGGTATAAACCATCATATTCCAATCAGTCTTCCTCGATTCACCAACGAATGAAATTCATGATCAAACAGTCGGTTAGTGCTACTTGGCTGCATTTAAATGTTCTGTTTCTATTTATTTGCAAGTCATTGATTTGTAATGCCCTAATGACTTGGACATAACATTAAACAATCACTGGGAGTGATTATGTAAGAGAACTTACCTTCATGCAAGCAAGTTAAAACGATTGAGTCCCTTTTCCCTTTGCTTGTGAACACACCCAAAACTCTTCACTATTATATGTATTCTGAAAAAATAGTATAATATTTTGCTCCCCTACTCAAATATTTTCAATTTGTGTTAGAATCGTCTGATTCTGCACACATAAAGATTTTACTTCAACTGTTGTATTTCAAAACACTCCTTTCCCTGTCCTTCAGCTCAAAACAGCCATTCGGAGTACAACGGGATGTAATCTAATCCATCACTATGATGCCGTGTATTTCGGGAAAACACACGGACGTCAACTGAATGCATTCGTGACAATCTACGTGAGGACACAGCTGAGCTTGCAGCGTTGCAACTGTGGGTTTTCTAATCTAAAATATTACATTTTGACCCAAATAAACAGGGGTCTGGACACTAGCACGCTGGATGGGTTCCGAGTAATTTATCCTGTATTGGGAAAACCTATGGATGAAGAGTAACTCTCTGTTTGTAATCGTTGAATACATGCTTGCTCAGGATTTCTGACTTTTGAGCTTTCGGTGATTTCATCAGCTGCGAGGGTATGTTGGTTTCTTACATAACTTCGCGGAAAGGTGTGGAAACTTAGTAAAAAAAGAGCTTGAGCCTCAAACCTAGAGTCCCATCTCTTATGTAATCAAGTGCTTACTTTGGAATAAAAGAGCGCTAGTGATTTCTGTATTTATACACACCATTATCTATGACCTATGACCGAAAGAGAAACTCGATGGGCGTCGCTGCTGCTGAACTCCGACCGCTTATTCACTGAGCCAATGACCAAACGTTTACGGTCAAACATCTCCAGTCAAATCCGCAAGTTAGGGATGCATTCATTGTGGCACAGTTTCCTAGGCCCCACATTTTACGTAGCCGTAGATAACTAAAGAGGGGATTGCCTAATAGTGAGTGAGAGCTGTCGTTTAGACGCTCAGTGTTGAATTCACGTTAGAATATTTGTGAACTGTAATGTTCAATAAATGCCGGAGAGATATTTAAGGACAGGATTATTTTATTCGTTAGTCGGATTGACACATTTTTAAGTGAATCGTAACAAACTTTTTCATACCATGGGAGAAAGTAAAATCAAAATCGGATATGCTTATTTGTTTTTGGAAATAAAATCACTCATGTGACAGAAGCAACCTGAGTTATTTTTACTCTCAGTAATCATTGACCTATGATGTCAAATCCAGGTATCCAGAAACTACCTTCGAAAACCAACCATACTAATCGAACAGTTTGAAATGGATTAACAGTGTAGATGGACGAAAGGAACATCCCATTATTATTCTTGGTTTTCAGTGATTTAAACAAGTCGCCTGTTGATAGTGGCTGTCATTTCAAGTGTTGACACATACTACCGACCGTACACGGTTAAAAGGCGAGCAATAGCTGAAACTGACCAGTCTCCAAATCACACTCGATGAAGCGAAAACATAAATTTTTCAACGGAGTGGCACAGGTCACTTTCGCGCCGTATTAGACAAATGTCCACTCGCGATACATTGAATTCTAAGGAAGTGCATGTAGGAAGTACTACAGAAGTCATCACGAGAACCCAAACAGAGAAGCCGGAAGAGCACATTTAGTCAATATTCAAATGCGATCAAATAGTCACTGCAGCTTGATACATTTAGAAATGTAGGAGGGATTGTTATTCAGTTTAGAAGTTACATAGGATAACCTACGAGAAAACGTAAACATGTTCATGTAATCAGACCTAAATTTGAATAAAAGAAAAATCGCTGGATCAATCGTTGAAGATATAAGAAGACTGCACACGCTTCGTTTATTTAGTCGACTGTGTAATCTGGTAAGCGCCGGATTTGGCTTTTGTTCTCTTGAGAGCTCATTAGTAAAAGGAAGTGAACAGCATAAATATATGTAATGATTCGTTTATTCCTGTCAACCATAATAAAATTTTCGACCCACCAGACGCTTTACCGATGGTCCTTTTGAGCATCATTCCGATTGGCATGGTAACAGGCCGTTTGCAATTGGGGAAATTGAAGTCGTTGAACAACTAGCCGAGAAAAATCAGTAGGTTTTTTCATACATCCAATTACCTTTAGGAATTTCATAAGAAAAAAAACAAGCTTCTTCACAGGACAGATTGACTTCAACTGTTTCACGTCATCTCTTCAGCTGTGTACAAACATTCATGTGAAAGTTCGATCAGGACAATGACAATGGCAATGGGAAGCCCACTAGAACCAATGTTAGCCGACATATTCATGGGCCACCTAGAATAAACAAACTATTATTAATCAATACATGAGGCTTTTTTCTATAAGCTTTATGTTAATGATACGTTTGTCATTGTCAAAGACAAGAATCATGCTAAAGAAATGCTAAAATATTTGAGTTGCTGTCACTCCACCATCAAATTTACAGTAGAACAAGACATCCTTTCAATTCATGGATGTCAAACTCACGAGAAAGGGAAGACGGATCTCTTCTCAGGTCTATATTCCACCAACCAACTTGGACCGGACAGTATCTGAACTTCAGAAGCTTCTGTCCAACACAATACAAGCGAGCCCTAGTAAAGGGCTTGTTTTCTACAGCAAAATGAATTTGTTCTGCGGAAACACTTAAAAACGACCTTGAGCTGATATCCTGTGCATTACAGGATAACGGGTATTCGCGGAATTTCATTGCAAAGTATGGCAACAACGTTCACTGATCCTGCATCCTCAAGTAAAGAGATCAGAAAACAGAAATCCGGTGATCCTGAACTGCCTAACGAACAGATTATTACACTAACCCTACGAAACTCAATACTAGGAAGAGTTCAATTCGTAGAGCCTCTTTTGAGTGAGAAGATTTTTGGTGATCCGGGTCTACGAGATCACGCATACCCTGGAGCGGCGCGTTACAGTTTTTGGACAAGCGCAATCAATCAAACCGCACGAATGAAATCAACAACGCGCGTACGTGTCACTGCTTCTGACTTCATACCATAGGCAGATTGTAACAGCTAATCAGAGATTGTGCGGCCCAGACAGAAGTAAAAGGATGCCAAAAATACTGGAAGGAGAAGTGACACAACTACTGCACAATTCGTACCCTCATCGGCTACTACTTGGACTGTGCACTGACAGAGGAAGTTGGTGAAGGGTATAAAGTAAAAGCTCGTTCAAGGCACTTTTCAGGATTTATATTTAAACTGGATAATGTGAATTACACTACAAGACGGGGTATGTTTGTGCTGTACGCTGTCAGTTTATACAGAGAATTGAAGTACTTCCAAACTACCGAATCACATCGAGTGAAGTCTTCTCCGTAATTTAACAACTTGATATAAATTCTGAAAATTATTCAACAAGTCATTCACGAAAATAAGGGAGACAACCATTAGATTGCAGCTTTTTTTAACCAACGCAGGACAGGTTCCCGATTCAACGTCTGAAGAATGGTCGAGAAATTCAGTGTACATATTTTGCTCTCTCGTGAAGAGACAGGCAAATTGAATCAGAGATAAACTGACATTCAGTGTGATAATTTATGCATTCCAACCGATGAACGAGTTTGATTGGGTTGGTAAGAGATAAGTGGAGATGTCGAACCGACTTATTCCTCGATTTCAAACTATTGAAAATGAGAACAATAGAACTGTAGTATTTTGCAGCCAGTGCGTTTTTTTGTTCATTTGGAAATTCCTCTCTATCGATGAACTGCACAATACACTAGCGATAACAAAATTATTTCGGGAGGAAACCCTAAAAGCACCCTGGCTGAAGGACAGGAATTGATTCTTTTTCACATTTTGGCTAGGATCGTGCGACTCCAAGGAAATTAGTCAATGTTTTAAACGTAAAGATTTCCTGTCAATTGGTTTTATTCTGTTCGCTGAAAAAGTCCTGATTTCGAAAGCACTACACAACGTTTGCTCCAGCTATTCCACCTTGAAATTAAACCCATGGAATCACTCGTCCGTAGATACGTCTCTTGGTCGTTCCTCGAAAAAGAGCCCGGAAGAGTTTGTCCAAAGCGGTCCGCAATGAGCTCTCGGATCCAAGATGCCAGTAGAAGCGAAGCTTTACGGAGGGCCGATTCCTGCCCAAACCTGTTCAAGTATTCACCTTGACTTTGCAGGACCGGTCAACGGTTTTTCTTAGCTTGTCGCTGCCCTTAGATTCAGTAAATGGTCCGACGGTTTTCTTACGTTAATTTCAACAACTGGAAACCTCAACCATCTTTTTGGTCGTTTTGGCATCTCTAAAACGCCAATCAGAAACAACGGCACCTGGTTCGTATCACTACAATTTATGGAATTCGGTAAGCAGAAAGGCATCAGCCATATTCACTCAATGCCTTTCAAGCCTCCCTGTGAGGTCATTTGATCTCTGAACCGGGATATAGAACAGCGATTCACTCCGTAACACAGAGCTTTGAAACGTTCCTTCTTGAACACTTATTTCACATTCTGCTCAATTATCCTGATTTCGTTAAATGACCAAGCCGTTCTTCTGTGTACGTGTTTTCAAGTGACAATAATAGGAGAATTCAGTAGCTGATTATCTGTTAGAATCCAAATGCTTCCACGAATTTGATCCGGTTATATTTCAATTGTGACGATAATTATCAGACAAGTCACGGTTTACGTGGAAAAAGCAACGCAAAACATATTGCGTCTTATAAAACCTACCTACATAGGTTTCATGCTTTCTAGTTTATCGTTACCGGAGCTAGTTTCTTTACAGAGCCTTTGTGTGTTTCATTCATACATTCACCCCTTTGTAGAAGAAACACTGGATTATGAATCTGTTTCCAACTCAAATTGCTGAATCCGCTAAATTTGAGCAGTTCCCTATCTCCAACGCGAATGAAAGTCATCTGTATTACATCACTATAATCTCCACAACGACAGTGATTTTCGGTGTATGATCGTGCAAAAACATTGATGTCCGTGAGAAACTTCGAAGTGTGTATTCTCAAGAAATGTTTATCTTGATGAGTTGATACCGGGAAGAGTCTGGAATACGGTCGGCATCAATTTCCGGTTTATTTCTTCATTCCATCGACATTGAATCAAAAAGCAATCAGTAACCGAGATCGATAGTTATGAGTGGATATGAAAAGTGGGTCTCTTCCAAATAACAAAAGAGTTTTACGAATAAACCCAAATCAAAGTGATTACGTTTTGAACTTCAGTAAGCCAAATTTCAGTGAATGGTATAATCTGATAATTAATCCAGTCCTACATTATATCACAGTCCAAACGTTTATTAAACTATTGATCATATAATACCTTACAAACACTTGGTAGAGGAAATATTGAGATGATACTTCTACGGATAAAAAATGAAAGAAACTTTTTCCTCAGATTATTCTCTTCTATTATCTTATTATTTGCTTTTCCATATTGTACGTGAAAGTGAGGATCGTAAGTGATAGTAGATACTGCAATCTATTTTTGATATTAGGTGCCTGTAATCTCTGCAATATTTTGGTTATT